AATTTAATTTAAAGCTGAATCCAGTAAATCCTTAGTAACTGGAGAATATTGGTGCAGATAAAGTAAATAAAAACAAAAAAGCAAGAAAAGTATTTTTATACTCTTGACAAGCTGTTGTGATGTCAGTGCATGAGATGACTCCTTACTGGTTAGTTGACATTCTGACAAGTGCAACATACCAGCAAACTATTTAAAGCACCATAACTAATAATAACATCAAATTAAATCATTTGATAAGGTAGCATTAAACAAATATTTGCCCAAGGTTACTCGCAGCTGCACAAGTAATAAGAAGTAAGCAGCACATGCGGTTTCTAAAAACACACTGAACCACTAACATCCATTGTTAATGTGACCCCACAGAACCATGCTCTGATAATGCTACCCTGCCAAGTATGTGTGCATATGTGGACTGCTATAGCACAGCATTTGAGCTATCCCAAGGCTTCGTGTCAGCTGCAAAACGATAGATCAAGAGAGGCGAGAGACAGAGAGAGCGGTACATAAAATATATACAAATATTTACTGCAAGAGATTACAAGAGATAGTAACTAATGGGAAAATGTCAGGGGTTTCTTACACAAGCATTATTTAAAAGAAAGGAACACAGCTTTTACTGCTGTGTGTTTTTCACTGTCTGGATCTAATAAATATAAGTTGTTAACATGTCTATTGAGATTTCAGGGCAACAACAATAGAGTGCTGCACTCATGCATGACTCATAGTTAAGCAATCAAATCACACCATCCATTAAAGTTGCATCACAAAGTGAATTTTACTTGCTGTCATTACTGAGTAAAGAGGTAAGCTTATAGTGGGCAAAGGCACATTATCAGAGAGAGTCACAAGTCCCACTGCTCAGCTCTAATTGTAGCAATGAGACAAAGGGCAGCAACACACATTACACGGTGCTGTGGAAAAAGCACAGGGAGGGGTCACATCACAAAGCCAAAGCACTGGCGTTGCATGCTTGTTGCATGTATTTATCCAGATTAATAATCGCAAAATTAGTTAAAGTGGCCGTCTGTGAGAAAGCTGAAGGGCATGAAGTAGTAGAGAGGTATTAAGTCTCCCCAGAGCGCCACAACAAAAGTAATTTAACAGTCCAGTTTATTCGTGTCAGACTTACAAGTACAACCTTAAATAAAAGCTTTACCCAAGAAAAGCACAAGCAGTAAGTATCAGTAGGAAGTGTATATGTTGTGCTAGAGAATCCAACATGTATTGATCAGTAAATTAAAAAAAAAAAAAATCCTACACATAGTTTTAGCACAGGATAAAGCGTGCAAAATATCCTTCATTCGATGAATGAGCAAAATGAGCACTTTGTCTTACAGATAACTGTGCCCTATTCAGGACTGAGAAAAGAGGCTGTCTTCAGCCTCAAAGGAAGCACAAAAAATGCAACAGAAAGTATTCTTGACTGTGGTGCAGATGAAAGTAACACATTAAATAACCTAAACCTGAAACTCAATCATTTTGTCACTGGAGTTTGTACAAGCCTGTGTTACACTGAAAGCCTTTCTTCTGCTCTGTTTTCACGCTGTGTCCAGACTTTCAAACTGTAAAAAAATGACCATATTTACCAAATTCTTTCAAAGAATCTGTACCAATTTGTTCAGATTTCATGTCACCCCTGCACACATTCCCCATATATTCACAAGGTATTCATATTCATTTTTAATGCTGAGGGATAATGGATTAGTCATTGACAACATATGCTAGAAAATGTTAGCCTTCAGCTCCCACAGCTTTATGCCAACTGAAAATATCTTGGATGTGAGAGATGAACCATGAGCTAAGGACTGGTTAAGACTAAACAAAAACCTGACTTCAGTTAGCATAAATTAAATGAAACAAAATTAAAATCTATGAAGATACCAAAACAAAATCATTTCTGTGTGCAAGGCTAATACCTTCCTCTGGCTCCAGGATCCTACTTCTGTGTCAGTACTGCTCTGACTAACCACAACAAGCTGGAACGGAACTAAACTGACATGA